CAAAATGGAATGACGGTGTCTGATTGCAATGGTCTCGGTATATCGTAAGAAACGTTTGTGTCTAGTGAAGCATAGAACACGAAATGACTTTGATGCGTCATCAAACGAGACTTGGCAATTAATGATGCTGGCTTCTTCCAGGTGTTTACTGTCAAGTTATCTGATTGCTTGACGGTTTGTTGAACCCATTTCGGTCAGTGTTCGAGAACCCTGATACCAATCTGGCGTTCAGTTCTGCCAACATAGGATGCTCCGCGTCCACATTTGTATTAATAGATTACGTTTGATTTGGCGAACTGAGACGTCACTTGCTTAACCGTGGGCGTGGGAATTCGGACCGTTCTGTACACAATCACTGGCTTTGCGGCAAAGGGTGTGCGGACAACAGCTGACCTTAAGCGTTGCTCAACTATTCGACACGCATTGCCTCTTTTGAACGGGATTTGTAAAACTGTTTCTGGAACTGTGGGTTGAGAATTCTTATACACATTGCTGGTGTTAAATTTTCGTATAAATCCTCTCGGATAACCGTTGTCTAGTAAAATCTGTTCTTGCCATGGCAGGGAGTAGAACTCCGGCCATGCTTTCATAAGACAACCGTGTTGACCACTGCGCTATTGACCTCACATTGGGCACGATCGAATTATTATATGTGAACGCTCGACCACTTTCACTTGTGAGTAATCATCAGATTACCCGATCGTCTCGATAGGAGACGCAGTTAGTCTGTTAACTCTAATCAATAATCCCACTATTAGGACTTGCTAGACAAGTTGAAATCTCTAATCTCACTAAACCTACTAGGCAGTATTTTAGAGTACTACTGTGTAGTCGGGGATTTGGTTAATTTCAGATTGAACATCTGTTCTATTTGAAGAAGTTCATCATCCAGGTTGTCACTGATACAAAGCGGTCTGGCCCCGTCAAATGGCTTGCTTACCAATCCTGTTTTACGTGCTGCTGGAGCAAAGCTGTCAAAATGTAGATACTTAACGGTCCACGTATTCTTTCGGTCTAGGACACTTTGAATGGATCCATCCGTCCTCTTAATTATGCAGATATCCAGAAACTGTAGTCTGCCGTTAGTCTCACTTTCTAAAGTGTAACAAATGTTTAGATGTGAACAGTTCATTTGATCTAGCAAATCTGTTGCCTGCATCTGATCGTCTGTGACTAAGAGTATGTTATCAACATATCTTCCATAGAAGACGAGAATGCTCAATTTGTTTGTCATTTGCTTTTCAAGTTTGGCCCCAAAGATATCGGCTAAAACTGGACCAAGTGTACTGCCTATCGCGACTCCATCGATCTGACGATAAGCCATGCCTTGAAAGTTGGAGCTCACATTAGATATCCACAGCAAAAGTTTCCGGGATTGTATTGCTGATTTGATTTGAAGTTATATTGGATAGCAAAAAACGGATGGTTCTTTCCAACGGCATGATTATGAACAACGTTTCTATGTCAAGTGAAGCCATATGTTTGTCAGACATATCGAGATTTTCTAACAGTGAGGCTGAATGAAAACGGCGTTTCAGGCAGTACTTTGTTGTAGTCTCCAACCGCTTTCAGCACGTGAGTATAGGATTCCGTGAAGACAGATATTGCCTACGTCCAACCCCACACAACATAAACTGGTCAAATGGTCGACAAAGTTACGCAAGTGCCTTCCGATTTGGGTTCCGTTGACACAAACCTTTGATATGTGTGTCTTTGCATAGCCATCGTTTGATACTAGTGTACATGCTGCTACTGCGCCCCGTCATTTATTGGTTGATCTGTGGGTACTGCGGGTGTCACTCCGCACTCTGCTTCGTACATGATAACTTTCCAGAGTGCCCGCACTGTGAATTTGAATATTCTGGTTTAGATATACCTTCTGTTAATAAAGTCCCGCTCATTCTCTTTTCTCCTCAACTGTGGCTGTTCAACTGATTATTCTCTTGGTTATATGACATGTAGACCTCGGCTTGCAGTCGATGATGATGTTGGTATGACGCAGGCCATTTGAAAATTAATCCTAGCCGGCTTCATGTAAAACGGAAACGGTTAAGAGGTTTGTTTGATATTTAACCCAAGCATAGTCAAAATGTAGTTAAATGTTAGAACCCTGCATTTTATGCTTTCCATCTTTCGAACGTCCAGATTCAACGTGGAACGTAACCTCTTTATATGGATTGTATTATATTTTACTCTGCAGTGGTTATGCATTCGGCTTGCGTTTTTAGTCATTCGTTAGTTGCCCGACTTTAAGCCAATACATGATTTAACTCCAAGTTACACCGTTGGCTTACGGCCTACTGCTAATGTGGTTCAGTGCGTTTGTTATTGTCTATGACTAAAATGACGCTCAAATAGCTCCTTCTTCCTGAAAAGTACTGCTTAACATGATAATCAATCTTTATACAACAACATTGTGAAAAGTTCCAAAGACAAAGTAAGCCTTAACACCTGCATCGTCATTTTTTCTAACAGAAGTACTTAAAAAGTGGGGAGTTTTTGATTTCGAGCCATAGCTCTAAGTGTATACTTTTAATATATCCACTGGGAGCTAATCGACAAAATATGTCAGATCATGATTTGCAACACGTGAACGAATACGCACCTCTAAGATACGAACTTACACTAACAGATTTAAGAACTGTGTTTCGTTTAATTGTGAGTATTTGTGTGTTATACCGGTGTTTTGTACGTTTAGTTTCCGTTTTCATCCATCATTGTTTTTGCACGTTTTGAGTTACGTTTTTGTTGGATACAGGAGCACCTTATTCGTACCGTCAATTTTACTACCTCGTTTTAATACGAAACTAAAGTCCCTTGAAGCATATTCCAAATTTTAACTGCTGGAGGATACGTATTTTTGTTGTCATCTTACTACTGAAAAACGGGAACGTTTTGTAATGTTGAGTCAACGAAACAATTTTTTGCATTTGTGCAGAACGAGATTTTATATACCTGCTCGTGTAAAAAACGAAAGCCAGTATTGCATTGTTCATGGCTGAAGATTGATTATGGTATATTCACCCTTTCAGAAACAGGAAAACAACTGTATTTCTTCAGTGATTTGAAGAAAAGGCTAGACAGTAGATATTTGTCGACGTTAAAATTTTAGACTATTGCGTCAGTGTTAAATAGTCTGTGACTCAAAACGTTCCCATCCAACATCTACAAGAAGATGTAGAAAACTCAAATGGAAAGTGATTGTTAGCCAGTGTTATTTTTAAACTCGGAGACTTTCAGTTTAGTTCTTAAGATCGGTTGTGGTGACATACGTTGGTCCTGAAGGTTTAGTTAAAATCCATGTTTTACCCGTTAAAAATTAATGTCTTCCGCTCGGCTAAGCTGGAAGGTTAAAAAAACCGTGAATGAAATTGCGTAAGTCTTTGCCACTAATGAAGCAGACGGGCGCACAGACGGACATTACAGGCAAATGCAGTGGTGATAGCTGGTTTTATGCTCCGAACTTCGTTGACTGAACGGCACTCTTTGAAAGACCACAACATAAAGTTTATATCAGTCTTTGCGGGCACTGTGTGCCAACAGTCGACGGTTCCTAGAATTTGCCGGAACCGTCCCAGTTAACCTGTTTAAATGTTTTGGACTCTGAAACAGTTATTTACAAACCGTTGATTATCTTGGATTTTACTCACAATTAGCGTTATTTAGTTCACATTTTTAACTCCCCCATATAGTAAACCTTAAGCCGAAACTTGCAGTCTTATTGATAATAAGGTATTGGACGAGACATTACAAAATGCCAGCATATACTACCGCCTACTTCTGAATGTAATTGTTAAGGTTCACCCGTTAACCACATATTCCACACGTCTAGGGACGGATTGCTATTTTAAGCCCATAGTGCAAACGAGAAAATAAATGCAGGAAGAGAAAGAGAGCAGAACAAAACTTGGAACGATACCAAGGATAACTTTTTAGTATGTTCACCTTTGCCTGCCTAATTTCTCAACAATCTATTGTCTGTTTCTGTTCCCAGCTTGAGGCTTTTCCTACCAGCGCGAAAATGTTTGAAGTAGCCAAAAAGCTTCGCTTAGAAAAGGAAAAGGAATCTAAGATTACAAAACAAATTCAAGATCACAAAACAACGGTAAGAAGCCCTTTTGGCCAACCTGACGCTAGGTTCATTTTGTCATTAACTTTTAATTTGCTAACTCCATATATGAGTTTTATTAAAGCTGACCGATCATCGTGCGCTAAAATTTCGGCAAACAGAACATTTATTAGTGCGGTTATTGCGACATTTTGTTTCGGTCACGGGATTGCGACGCTAAACAATTGAGAACGAACCAGCGTATTGTTTAGAGGGTTTACACCAAATTGGCGACATAGATGGGATTCGAACCCACGCGAGCAAACCCCACTGGATTACCAATCCATTGGTGACGGAAGAACTCACGATGTCAATACCGTTCGAGCAGATGCAAACCCTCCTTCAACAACAGCAGAAACAATTCGAGCAAGCGCAGTTAAAACTGATTGAAATACTGACGCAGAAACTGAGTTTCCAGCAACCGACAACGGAATCCAACGAATCCTTCAAACCGACTGCAGAATATCTGGTCAACTCAATCAGTGAGTTTAATTTCGATCTTGCAACCGGCACCACGCTCGAGTCTTGGTTCAGAAAGTATGAAGATGTTTTCAAGGTGAAACTGTCAGACGTTGACGATGCTCGGAAGATGAGGCTGCTGCTCCGTAAACTGGGTACCTCAGAACACGAACGGTACATCAACTTTATCTTACCGAAGAACTCAAGGGATGTCAGTTTTGACGAAACCACCCAGACGCTGTCCCAAATCTTTGGCGACCAGTCATCCCTGTGTAATATACGTTACCAGTGCTTGAAGCTCGTGGAGTCAGCAGTTGATGACTGGGTGACGTACGCTGGAACAGTCAATCGAGAGTGCGAACGTTTCAAGCTTCGAACGACGACTGAAGATCAATTCAAATGTCTCATTTTCGCTTGTGTACTCCAGTCACCAAAAGAGGCAGATATTAGAACACGGATTTTGGCGAAGATAGAACAATGTCACGAAATCACCCTGTAAGATATCACTGCTGAATGCCAGCGCCTGGTGAACCTGAAGCATGATACCGCCATGATTGAACAGAGCAGTCACTCAAACGTCCACACGTTGTCCTCAGATGTCCCAGCCAAGGTTGCATCAAAATTGAGGACCGTTTTTGATATCATGATTCCGCATTCAAACAGAGGGGGAAGACACAATGCAGAAATGGAAAGACAGTACAATCAAAGATACGGAGCTTGTGCACGTTACTTCACGATCGGCGTGCCGGTCCCTGTACGCATGTTTTATGGACCGCTGATCTGGAAAAGAAGAATAATCGTCCAACGGAGATGATCAGTCCTGTGTGAATTGAAATTTGGTGGAACCACATGTGTGCGGCTCGCAAACCAGATTCGCCGGAATCGCGGAGTTGCACTGTGCGACCATGTAGGACCAACCGCCCAACGGTAATTCGGTCGTGCCCATTGTGAGGACAATGGCGCAGTGGTCAACACAGTTGCCTCATGAAAGCGTGGCCGGAGTTTTACTCCCGGCAGTGGAAGGGATATGCACTGTTGACGAGCTCCAATTGGGGCGAAACTCGAGTCCAGGGCTTCTTTTCGACCGTAGTCAACTGGTTAGTCTATGGGAATGCGACAGCTGCGGTCAATTATGGGTGATGTTCAATCTATATAAATCTTCATTCGCATACTTACGATTAACGATTTCAAAAGTGAGATGTTAGGATGCGCATCTCCTAACGAAGCAGCCAGGACGCATCACACCATATCAATCGATTGACCCAGTTCGGCTGATATGGTCCTGGATGGTGCTATGGTTCCCTTCAGCCAGTCAGATTTCAGCCGTGCGGTCGAACATCTGTGCGTTATTTAGACTGTTTTCTCGTGTTTGCTTTCCACTGTTTGGCGAAAAAATTATTGTACGAACACACCCACTCAGGGATATATTGCATTTTTACCCTATCCATTTGCATGTACTTATGCATACTGTTTGCCGTCTTTGCGTTGCCTCACAAACGCTGAATTGTCTGCCAGTCAATTTTTATCGACAGAACGATGGGGTCCTGCGATCTGACCTCAAATGCGCATACACCCCTGTGACATATAGCACGTCTGTGTTGGGGCCGTTCGTTAACCCGATTGTGTTAAGAAGCCTGCTTTTAGGCAAGCTGGAATTTCCGGATTTTGTTTCCGGGTCCACCGTTTTAGGGCTTTTATAAATCTCTAAATTTTACAACTGATTGTGGTTGTTTTTTATTGAGCGTCAGGGCCTCGTTTCGGATTCTGCGTGTGCACTGATCTTTTTCCCCCATCTAGATTCTCTCGATGGACCAACGTGTTCAACGAATGCAGCAACAACTAATGGAGTTGCGTAAGGCGGCTGCGGGTTCATCCCCGGAGGGTGAGTTGACCAATAAACCTCATTTCCTTGGATAGCATGACGCCATTCTTGTATGTGGATATTACATTGCTCATTTTTGGTGTTTATTGCCTGATGTTTCGGACAATATTAGTGTGTAATAAACCATTTCAAACAAGCCGTAAGGTGCATATTGTAGCATGACATAATTAACTTGCAACGAACCGGGTGGGTATTGCACAGTGACACGACATGGGCTGACCGTATTCACGACAACAGAGACTCGCCTTAGCACAGTTGCCTGCAATACAATTCAAGGACCAGGTAAACATAGTCCTGGATACAGAGTTGCCGCCCCTGATTTCCCCAAGTTTAACGGTTTTTGCCATCTGCGACACTCCCTGAATAATCACCACGTAATATATACTACCCACTTCATCCCAGCTAGTGTTAACAAACCGAATGGTTTCTATGGGCAATCTGTTTAAATTTATCTGGCTGACTTGCAAGTATTTTCTTTTTTCTTTTAAAACACTTAAACGTAAGAACGGCTGTTCATTTAACAAAGTTGCCTCTCGTATTCTTTAGATTAAAGTTACCAGCAGGCTTCTGTCACTAGATTCAACCGTTTCAGCCGTACCGCCGTATACTATCGGTTTATTTGATGATTGATTGATTGATTGATTGATTGATTCAGGTCAACCCATTGATGGCTGAGTTGTATTTCTTACAAATATCCGGAAAAGCCGGTTCGTTTTTATACCGCTTTCTTCATTATTTCAGATCTAAATAATTCGCACTTGGTGTCTGAAGGTTTTCTTTTACTTTGCAACCAGACAGGTGTGGCTAAACTGTTGCTTGAGGCGTTTCCTACCCAGCTTTTAAAACACTCGTTTACCGAGTCGTCAGTTGCTATCTCGATAAACACTGCTTTTTATCACATTCTGTTTGAAGTACATAATGTGCCTATTGGTTTACTTATCCGAATCTTTTTGCCAGGACAAATATTTCTCTCGAGTTACCTCTAGCTACTTCTGATAGCATTCTTCATTTTGAACGGCAGCTTACACATACTTCTCTTAAAGAAGAAGCAAGGGGTGATGCCAAAAATAGTTAAGAAAAATAAGAGGGAATTTCAGCAAACTGACTGTGAAATACAGGACTTTGCATAGCATGCACCGCTAAACAAGTGACGTGTCTCTTCAATCAAAGTGACTAAAACATAAAGCTTCGCAGTCAACAGGTAATTTTTCTCTGGATATGTCAGAAAAAGCAAAACGAAAGAGCGAAAGTTAAAGGAGCAGTCTCCCAAAATCAGTGGCTCTCCAGGGTACCGAAATGATAGTACGTCGGAGCAGTGAAATACACTTTTGTAGTGAGACATCCACCAGCAAAAGTGCAACGGTTAGTTCCCTGTGTAAAGACGTCATGAGTTTCCATGTAACCCAGAGTGGTCAGGGGGCGGAAATCAGTCGTTGCCTAAGCACGCAGTTATATTCGAGTATTAACATTACTACCAATACGATTAATATTGCCGCTGATAATGCCATCACTAGTTAATCCGGTTGCTCCTATTTACAGTGTTACTACAAAGACTCGAGGAAGAAACCAGGATAAATCAATACATGGTATCCAACAAATTGCCGCGGGAATTGGATTTGGTCCAAAAGCACATCGAGGATCTCAATCGTGTGTTGTCGCAGCCAGCAATGACTCAGCAATTTCTCGATCAGTTGACGGAGAAGGTGTGTCTGTGCCAGTATTCACTGCCTGACTTTATTATGCATTTGGTATGCTCTGACTTACGTTGGCCTATGTGAATGCGCCTTTTTATTAATGGTTCGTTTAAATAAGAGCATGAGCTGATGTTCAGAGGTTGTCCGTTCGTGGGGCTACCCTTTCCGACTTACGCGCTACTCAGCAGTCTTAGCTAGGTTGGTCCACAGTAAACAAGTAACTGTCTGCGGTTCTAATGAATAGATGGAGAAGAACACAACGTTACGAACTAGTTGTAATACCAAATATACTACTCAACTATCCATGCCGTTAGCCAAGAGGGAATGCAACCAGCTGGATTGCAAACAAAGAATAACTAAAGAAACCCTTTCACACTTGAGCCTATCCTTACCTCATGAAGTTCAATCAAAAAACATCTCAGCTTTTTTAAATGTGTTCATTACTAAACGTGCAAATGATGCATTAGTGCGTTTCATTCATAGAAAAACAGCATTGGGGGGCTTATGTGCTATCATTTCCCCCGTTTTGCCTCGAACGAATAAAATTGTGTATTGGTGATACTCCTGCCTCATATAGCCAAATACACTTACACCTCTGATAGGCTGCTCCGGAAGACTTTACTAGCAATCACCTGTCCTAAGAACTTCACTGAGGCTCACAACGTCGGGATTAGAAATGTGCCAGTACGATTAGTTCAGAAGATGAATATATATTTTTATTTTTGTAGTTTCACGTGGGCCATCTGGCGAACCAACTCACGTGCGAGTTGAAATCCATTCTAGCTCATATGTGTGCTGCTGTGTATTTGTGGTCGGTTCGCCGTCAAAGAATCAGTTCTCCAAGATCGCGAACGCAGATCGTCCACCTCTTTTGCATCCCACGTTGTATATGGGTTCACTTGCAGTCACAGTGACGTTTGCGTAGACAGAACAGTCCAGCAACTACTTCAGCGATATACCGAACACATCAAGAAATGGTTGAAACAAATGATGATTCGCCAGCCTCAACTTCTCAAAATCTAATATCGTAGATTGTTAAACACGTCAGAACAACAGAGCACCAAGTTGATTCACTTAGCACACCCCCGATACCGGAACTCAAAATGCTAGTCCTCAGTTAGCCACCGTTTATCCCCTCTTACCAAACGCCATTGCGTCCACAAAAATGGCTGATGCAATCCATCGGACTGCCATGGTCCCAATTACATAGTACTTAGCGTTGTTGTATCATTTGCTGTGCCCCTATTTGGCTGATGTACCTTCTAGTCAGCCTCCTT